GATCATATGCATTTCAGGCCTTTTAAACTCAGCCTCCTAAGCAGTAGGCAGCCAATCGCATTTAAAGGTTATAGAATTTTTCCATTACATTGTCACCTAATAATCATCATGTCTTTGGCAGTCTGATTACCCAAACTACACTCCACTACTTGCTAAGATTTTGGAAGGCTTGCTTTCACAGAGTAAGGTGGGAGATAAAATTCATCATCATGAAGATGTAAGCTCTATAAAAGGAGTAGTAATAGTATATGTTGTAGTGCAAGTTTTTTCACATCCTCTGTTGAGAGACGTGCTATGGAAATGGGATTTCTGTTGTGCGTGCATTCTGCAGGTTATAGATGCAGCAGATGAGGTAATTGATAGTATTGACAAAGATGAGTTGGCAAAGTTCTTTTCGCTCAAGAGTGATCCAGAAGATGAGGAGACAGAGGTGTGTATCCGTGTTGCTAATTTTCCACCTTCTTTGTGGTTCCCTTTTGGACAAAACTTCTGAGATTTTTCAAAGTTCGTAAATGAGCTATTGGTATATTAGTTTTAACAAAATTAACACAATTATATAACATGGTTGCTATAGTTTTGTGGTTTTAGTTTCTTGTGCGTGCTCAAGATGATGTGAGCTCTGCTCCCACCTACTGTTTTCATCTTTCTCCTCTTTTTTTTTTTCTTTTTTTTCAATTGTAGCATGCATTTGCATTCATTTACTTGAATAGCAGTTATGAAGCTGCACTTGTTATGCTTTTATTGTAGAAAAAGAAAAAGGCAATGGAGACGACCAGGGATGAATTGGCCGAGGCACTGTACCAAAAAGGGTTGGCATTGGTGGAGATTGAATCACTAAAGGTAGTGAAGATCATCTCTGTTTGGTTGTAGGTTTATGCCCCTTGAAGTGGTTTTTTGTAATTCTATCAAATTTGTAACATGGAGTAACTGATTTTACCTGAGTACCCGTGTCCAATTGACAGGACAAGGGTGCTGGTACCAAAATCCAGATTGGATAGGCAAATTTTTTTATGTTTTCTGAAACATGTGTGCTTCCCCTTGGTTATTTCAAAGAAAAAATGTTTTCAAGGAGGGTTGGAGAACCTCGCTGGTTAGAGACGGAGAGAGTCGAGGACCCCTGCAACCTGTGGTCCTTTTTGAAATTTTATCTTGAGCCACGGCAGACCTTTATTTTTTGTCCCTTGAAACTTTCTGTTGGTTTTCTTTTTCTGATTTTTGGTAAGGGATTCTACACGGTATTTCTACAGGTGTTTGCTTTGCCAAATTCCTAAGCATGGATCCACACGCAGATAATGATGGGCGTATATCTATTATTGACACCAACATGAATTTAGTTTCCTTGTTTAAGTGGTATTAATTTGTGCTTTATGTATTTTACAACCATTATCATGGCAGGGTGAGAAAGCTGAAACAGAAGGCACAAAAGATTTGTTCGAGGACAATTTCAAAGGGCTGCAAAAATGGGTTGATGCAAAGTCCTCTAAATATGGCACCCTCTTGGTGCTACGTGAAAGACGACGTGGGAGGCTAGGAGCAGCAATAAAGGTAAACTTTTCTTCCTTGTGTCATGTTTTCTTGTTAACTTCGTCTCACGTCATAGGTTATTCTGATCACAAGATAGCATTTGTCATTTGTCAAGAAAGTATGTTGAGAAGACATATTAGGGTTTGGTTTTTATGATGGTCATTTTACTTGAACCTGATCGACGATCATTCGTTGCCCCCAGGCATTGAATGGAATGATGCAAGATAATGGAGATCCACCCAAGAAGAATCTGTATGAACTGAAGCTCTCATTGCTTGATGAGATTGGATGGAAACATTTATCGACATACGAGAAAGAGTGGATGCTCGTGCGGTTCCCACCAAGCTTGCCTCTTTTTTAACTTGATTCATGTTTACAAGATTGGATTGGATGATAAATTAAGAGGCTGCTGTTAGCAACCAAATGTATCCCGCTCAAACTGTGGCAGTAGGTTGTCTAATATTTTTCAATAAAAGATATCAAATGGGTAGATAGCCTTAACTTCACCTCTTTTTAGTGTATTTCCTCACCCCTTTTGCTTGATTCTCAGTTTACAGCATGGTTATTAAACCGGGTCGATGATTAATCGAACCAGGTCTTGAGTACTGTAGATTTACTCAAAAAGTGTCTCTAATACTTGTATTAGCGATTTGCTTGAGTTGTTAAAAAAGCATGGTCAAATTTTTCTTTATTTTTCTAGAATAAAATTTATATGAACTATATGTATTTTTTTTTGTTATTAACTCACTTTAGAAAAGGAATTTGAACTTGGATGTTTTTATTTTATCTTTTTAATAAAATATTATTAAAATACTTTAGTGAATTTGGCCTTGTATTTTTTTAATTAAATTTCACAGTTATTTGCATTTTTGATGCTCTTGTAAAAGTGACTTTTGCTTTCAAATCAAATTTTTTAGTGTGTTTTAAAATGAATAATGGGAAAAAGGTTTTTCGAAAATTAATTGAATAACAATATGTAGTTTTCTTTAAAGGGGGATTGAAGTTCAGAAAATGTAAAAACATATTCCAATGACTTTTGTAACAGAAGTAGATTTGATTGGAAGACTTTATTGATAAATAAAAAAAATATTAGAGGGTGACTGATAAAGAATAATTTCTTGAAAAGAAATCACTTGAAGGTAAAATGAAATTAACCATTATATCATGGATAAAAGCACATGGCAAGCCATTAAAACTCAATTTCTTTGCATTCCTTTTTTCCCGCAGTCCTTCAGTCAAAGATGGAAAACCAGATAGATGAGAACGAAAACCTTGTTGAAAATGGTAACCAAGTTGGTGATCATAATGAAGACGACTAAGTGCCAGCAGTAGAAGAAGTTCATCATGCAAATCAATGTACCAAGAGCAAAAGTATAGTGAGAGCAAAACAAATGAAAGAGCACTTGAAGATTCACAAGGTTAAGAGTCAGGGCCACGATGGTGAGCAGAAGTTCAAGCGTTACACTCTCTCATGGCTATGTACGTAGAGGAGGAAGGAATTAAATTAGGTGATTGAAGTTTCTTCAAATTTTATTTACTACTTCTTTTCTTAAATTTTTTTCCTTTTTTAGTTCTTTCTATGAATATTTCTTGATTAATTTCTTTTTAATTCCTTTTGTCTTAAATTTTCCTGTTCTTTTTATTTAAAAATCTCGACACATCAACGAAAAAAGAAAATTTAAGGAAGAAGGTGTTTTGTTCAAGCAAAACTTCCCGTCTCTGGGTATATATCTAATGAGATTGAAGATGACAGTGAAGCGTGTGATGTTGATGCTTTCAAGAAAGATGATGATAGTGCGAGTAGAGGGCTCTCTGTTACAAAACCGGACTTGATCAATCCTTGATGCTTTCAAGAAAGAAGATGATAGGGGGAATAGAGGATTCTCTGTTACAAAGGCTGGACTTGATCAGTCCACATCTACGTACTGGGAGTGGTTAATTGCAGTGAAAGAGAACGGAAGAAAGCTGATTCTAAGCAAGAAAAAGAAGGGTCTGTCTGAAAGATTCGGACAAGAAATGCTTAATTGATATTTGGAAGTGCATGGAGGTGGTCAAGAATATTGAATGAGATAGTACACAAGAATTGGAGCTCGGACAATATCGTGAATGTAAAGAGGTTATAAAGCCAGAAGTCAAGAACGAGGCTTAGAAGTTGAAGCTGGTCTGAAAAGGAGCCCCATGAAATGGCTGGAAGGATTTTTCTAACTAGAAGAAGGTTGGGGGACGTGACAATGGTTGAAACTTGAAATAGGTTACACTGGAAACTGATGTGTGTTCTCTGTATCTGAATGTCAGAGACTGGAGGTATGAAGACAACTTAGGTCCAACGAAAGTTTAATGAAGGTGCTACTAATTTGAAATTGGCACCTAATTCGGGGAATGTATTGAGCTACGTACACTCTACTGAAAGGCCTGTTGTGAGGGCTCCTGAGTATCCCCTTCTCACAGACAATGGACGCAGCTCCAAGTAAGTTGAGATCACTCCGCTCCATCGTCTCCTTTTAAGACTTCTACAATGTTATCAGATTTTGGATGTTCTTTACATTTTGTTTTGCCTAATTTTGACTTCTAACCATTTCATTCCTTCTTTATCTTCAGTTTTCAACACTTTTGGATGCGTCTCTATACACTCTGAAACTACCATGAATTGGTTCTAGCACTCTTTAATTTGTATGCTGGATTATATCACGAGACAGACGTCATGAGAATTCTCACAACTGCACGCAAACTGATACTTGTTCTTGCACAACTTGCAAAGAGATCGATATATTTTGTTTTGCCAATCTTCGTATCTTATTAGTCTAACTCGGGAGTTTCAGCATTGTGGCTTTGAAGCATCTGTTGCTTTTGTTCTCACTAGCTAGCAGGATCTTATTTTAGAAGTTGAGAGGTACTTCATTTTACCAGTGTGTGTTTCTTTATCTTTCTTTTCAGCATAGATAGTGGTTGATCCCACCAAGCTAAGAGATGATCTGCATTATTACCAAAGCAACATGGCGTGGTCCCATTTTCAGGATCTCAGGCACCATAATTATTAATATGGCCTAAGTCAGATGTGAAGAATCAGCCTCCAGTTGTCTCGTTTTCTAGGATCGATCTCATTTCAGCCAGGTGACTTTTGTCCCTTACAAAGACCTATGAAGTGGGAGGGTGCTGCAATATTTTCTTCTCCTACTTCCGTAAGTCTTGCATTTCCTGTTGCGGGTGGTCGAAAATGAATTAGCTGTTGCTCAGTTTTTGTCCAGTGGAAGAGGAAGTCATGAAACCACCAATGTATACTTTGAGGAAGCAAGCTATTTCCAAACTTTCCTTACTTTACTAACCAGGTACCTGTCCGTTGATGGTGGCGGCGATTTCTTTTCTTTTCTTTTTCGTTCTTGGCCCATCTTCCCCACTGGAGATTGTCCTGAGTTTGGGGCATTAGTGGACATTGAACTATCCATTTTGTTCAACTATTTCTTACACTCGAAACAATATGACAACCCCATTAATTTTATAACATTCCAAACTACGAAATTGAAATGATGACAAAGGACATTTAAATGATTAACTATGGCTACTAAAATGATCGGGAACCTATCTTCCACATTATTCATATCTTTTACACGTGGATAAGCTCCAAGAAAAAGCTGCTTAATTAGGTATCTATATATATCTCGTGGCCCGAAAGCTACGCTGGACCTAGCTAGCTATTAATGGCATGGAATATAGCTGATCTATAGGGGTTTGACAATGAGTGGCAAGCCATTGCTAGGCCTCAAGGAGAGAACAATAGCAGGAGAGTGACTGTAACTCGGGGAGATGGAGAATGAAAACCTAGTGAGAACTAGGGTTAGCACAATCTTGTACTCCATCATTGTCAAGTTCCTACCAATGCACATTCTTCCTCCAAACCCAAAAGGCAAGAACCCCATCTTGTGTTTGCATCCACCATACAAGTCATCCTTGAACCTCTCTGGCTTAAACTCATTCACATCTTCTCCCCACAGTTTAGGGTCATGGTTCATGGCTACAACATCAATCCACATGTTGGTTCCTTTAGGTATTATCAGGTCATTTACTTGGATATCTTCCCTAGCTTGCCTTTGTATATTAGGGGCTGGTGAGTACAGTCTTAACACCTCATTCATCACCCATCCCATCTGCAATATCGAGATGACATTTACAGAATATTAGTAATTAAGACTCCTTGATTTAAAAGGTACTTTATGTCATCGAAACATCATATGAAATGCAGGTATTTATGTGCCAAATTAATGATGGTTGAATTCTGCCACACTTGTAAAAATCCAAATATTAAAACTACATGATTTTGTATTAAAAAAATAATTAACTTAATTTTGATTTGATTACCAATTAACCTGAGCCTCATTCCATTTAATTTAAAATCTAATTAATTCAAAATTCAAGATGAATAAATCTTGAAGTTAACCTGTTAAATCAAATCGGCAAATCATGTTAATACAAGTTAAATGGGTATTTAAAAACATAATAATAATTATTTTTTAAATATATTTTTAAAATATAAAAACAAAAAAATGATGCAAATGCACGTGTAAGCTTGTTTCCGTCATTTCGTGGTGTAATATTGGACGGTTGAGGGATGTTGACAAATAGGCCGTGTCCCTTTTGGCCAGTCAAAGCCATTGGGGCTTTGCCATGTGTCAGGTGGGAACAAATTCGACACTATGTGCATGTGTCACATAGACATGACATCTTAAGTACCCAAAAGGTGTGGACTAAGACCATGCTGTGTTTGACCATGGTCATATCGAATTAAAATTTGGTTTCCTCCAATATATATAGAGCTTTCAAATTCAATTTTATTTTTATTCAAAATAATATTTGGACCATTCTCCCTCTCTAACTGTCAATCTTCACCAAGAAGAATTCTCTTTGAAAAAAACAGGTCAAGAAAATAATTTGTAATACCTATATTTCTCAAAAATCTCTCACAGAAATTATTATTATGACTTATAATTAACCACATGCATGAATATAATATATGCTGCTGCTACCTGGACAAAAGAAAAATATATTATAGAGATTATTTGGCTACATGGCCGGTCTTAGAACATGGTTGGTTTGGGGTCCCTGTAAGTAAATAAATAAAATGCATGTGAATTAATTTACGTGTTGTTTATGAAGCAAAACATCGATCTTTCATTGGTGCAGGGCCCCTCTATGCACCTTCAATTATTCATCTTCGTTTATATATATATATATATATATATGGTATTATGGACTCCAACTTTTAGCCCAAGAATTTGAGGTCACATGATTAAGCAATAGACAGACAAACAAACAAACAAAACATGCATGCATGATCGCAACTAGCTAGCATCTTACCTTCTTAAGTCCAGCAAGCTTTGTGAAATCGATTTCCTTATCTCCTGCAACTTCTCTAATCTCCTCTCTCAGTTGCTTTTGCCACTCTGGATGCATCGCCAAAAGCAGCAATGTCCATGAAAGAGCCAATGCTGTGGTCTCGTGGCCACCGAAGAAGAAAGTCTTGCACTCATCGACCAATTCCCTTGTTGTGAACTTCTTCCCTAACCGCCCATCTACACCGTTCTCCTGGAGCAGCAACCCTAGCAAGTCTTTTTGACCGCACACCTCATCAGAATTCTTACGAGCTGTTACGATAGTTAAGAGGAGAGCATCGATTTCTTTTCCAAGTTTCTTGGCCTCGATGGTTTTCCCAGGGAACATGAGCTTGCTAAAGGGTACTCCTACATAACGGTTTGATTTAAATAGAGTGGTTTGCATTGCCCTTAGTTTTTCAAACACTTTGCTCCCATTTTCATAGCTTATGCCAAAGCTTGTCTTGGCTATGATCTCTCCAGCCGTCGCGGTGATTTCTCTCTCGACGTCGATTTCTTGGCTGCCGGAATTTATGAGGGCAGCCCACTTGTCTAGCATCTTTGTGGTGGACTCCACCATCAAGCTTGACATAGCCTATATGACAACAAACAAAACTGATTTAGAATAATAACAAATCCCCGGGGACTATCTATTAAGAATTAATGAAAAGGAAGAATTTTTCTTGTCAAAGTCTTCAATATTGAGCCTAATCAAAACATAATGAGATAAGGATTGACATTTAATTAGGACTTTTACGGCAAAGTGAAATTCCACACATCCACTCATTCTTTGAAGTTTATACGACCAGCCTTATAGGCTATACATAGAGAGTCATTCATTGGGTAATTAATTAAACCTATAGAATCTTGGAAAAGCAAACGTATCCTTTCCTATTTTGGGTATATATAAGGTGAGGTATTAACACATACACAATTATGGTAATTAGTGATGGAAATGTCAACTTTTTGAGTGCGTTCTTTCGTCAAAATTCACAATTGGAACTACCATATTCACACCACCCAATATTTTATGGAATTCATGATGATGATTGTACGGATCATGGTATAATAGTGTAAGTATAATTCAAAAGTTATAGTGCAACTTGGTTGAAAATTATCTAAACTTTGTGATTAAAATGAACTGAGATTTTTCAACCACTTGGGCAAACAAATTAAAAACCCTGAAGATCACACACGTAGAATATATAGTAGTATATACTCTTTAACAATAGAAAAGGAGTAAGAAGAGAGAGATGTTATGGACCTTCAAGTTGGCTGGAGAGAATGCAGGAGTGATAACATGGCGGTGGCGAACCCATTCATCACCTTCAACCATGAGCAAACCGTTACCAAACATGGGCTCTCTATCATGTTTAAACACTTCAGGCTTTCCCCAGCTCTTTCCCATCACCCCTGAACTCATTTTTTTCAGGAACTCTGGGTCTGCTATGTACAGAAATGGCTCTGTACCTAACCAGTAAATGAATACCTTGCCTGCAAGACAACAAATGCACACGTATATATTATTATTCATACTGGATGGATAGATAGATAGATAATAGCGAACAGTATGCATTTAACCGACAAGCACGTGTACCAACACATGTGTATACATACTTGTCTTAAAAGGAAACCTTGAATCTGTAACAAATGTGCATACGTAGAGACAGGAAGATTCAGAAGAAGAAGGTCATGAGTCTTACCATGAGACTTTTGCCATTGAGAGAAGTAGGGAAAAACTGAAGAATGAATATCGTTAGAGATTTCTGAGGTCCCAGGAGAAGAAAGGGTAGTAATATTAGTAGAAGAAGCTGCTGCTGCGGCTTTCCTACTAATATTTTTTATTTCCTTATGATTTCCTAGAGGGAAATATGGAGTTGGACCACCAAACCCATTTTTCCTTAACTTAAGATACGCCCCAGCAGGCGAGATCCAGCAAGAAAACAATATTCTCCAGATCATGTAAAGAGAAGCAGTAAGAGTGGAAACAACAAGCACTTGAAATAACACTCCCATCGCTCTCTTATCTTTCAAACACAAAAACAATCGAAAGGTAGCGACACTAAAATCTTTCAAAGAAGTAGCAGTTTGCTTGCTGGCTATCTCTTTCTTATTGCCTTGGGAATGGTGAGAGAGATGGGTATTTATAGATGGAGATGAGGGGCTTCAAAATTGTCGGAGATTTGACTAAAAATCCTACAGTCACCTTTTAAACAGTATAAGTTTGAACATCATCTTTTTTCCTGGCTATTCAACTCTTTTGTCTTGTAGGGAATATTAATTACCTATTACTTTATTCTTTTTAACTTTTTTTGGCTGGCCATTCTGATCTTGCCAGCCTGCGTTGTTATTGATTTTGAGGGCTATCAAGATTTCTAGTTTCGATTTTTATTGCCAAGTATGGAATTAAAATTAAAAATTAATACAATTCAGACGAATTCCTCCTCGGAGTGTTTTCCACCTTTTGAATTATTGACTGGCCATGGCTTCGGCACACGCACTCTTGGACAGGATAACAAGCGAGCGCGCGCGCGCGCTTGATAATTACCAAAGTTGCTTTTTGGGTCGCAAACCAGAGGCTCCCAAACCATATATTTACTTTTTAGGACAAAAAGATATGATTGCCGTTTAGCCACACGTAACTCAGATATTAGCAAATGTTTTTTTTTTTTTTAATTCAAGACTGCTCTTTATACCGATCATCATTCAATTTATCTTTTTATGATTTTAAAAAGTATCATTTTATTAATTTGATGCATTTAAATATATAACTTCTTCTAGATATTAGTTTAAAAATCCAAACTCATCGAAAATCATGTAATTGGAGAGCGAATTAATTAGAAAAATTGATTAATGTAAATGACCTATCTTTAACTATATTGAAAATATAAATTTAATCTTCACATCCAAAAACAACTAATAAAAATATCATTCCATCCATAAAAAGAAAAAAAGATAAAAGGACAATATCTTTTTTATATATTTTATTTATTTTTATTTATGGTTTTCTAATATCCTTGCATACCATCCAAAGGATAGCTAGGTAATTATTCAAGTTTATTTTTTTAATTGTATAATGGGATAATTAATAGCAAATGATACTAACTTGTATTTAAAATTATATATTAATTATTAATTGTTGATAAGCTAAAAAATTTAAGTAGCTTAGAGGCAAGATTTATGTCTTGGATAATTAGTTAATCTCTTGGTTTTGATAATCTAATTCATTCTTTCTATTCAAGATAACCGGGGATGAGTATTTGATACATGTAAAAGGTTTTATTTGGTGAGCTTGAGGACTCTCCGATGATTAAATCAATGATTTTTTTAGATAAAATATAATAATAATACATAAATATATTCTGAAAATAAATATACAGTAGAGAATTGAGATTCTGAACCTTTTTTATTTGAAGGATTCATGATCTATTTATAGAACATGAGTCTCTTTATAGAGAGAATGAACTAAAATGTATATTTATTTTTATAAAACATGAATCTATTTATATACTTACAGAACTTTTTTGGATAAAATGTAATAATATTACATAAAGATACTATGAAAATAAATATATAATAGAGAATGAAGATTCTCAACCTTTTTTGTTTGAAGGATTCATGATCTATTTATAGAACATGAGTCTCTTTATAGAGAGAAGGAACTAAAGTGTATATTTATTTTTATAGAACATGAATCTATTTATATATTTATAGAATTTTTTTGAATAAAATATAATAATATTACAGAAAGATACTCTGAAAATAAATATATAGTAGAGAATGAAGATTTTTAACCTTTTTTGTTTGAAATATTCGTGATCTATTTATAGAACATGAGTCTTTTTATAGAGAGAAGGAATTAAATAGTAACATCACTATGATAGTTTTAATTAGCAAAAATATCTCTGAAATTTGTATTAATATTAATGAAAATATGGTGGACTCTCAAATAATTTTAACAAACTATCCCTTGCACAACATTAATATTGATGGAAATGTGATGGCCTTTAGAGAACTTTTATACACTTAAAGGTGTAAAGAGAATTTGATACAAAATATAGTTGTAAAAAAATCATCTCACCTAAAGCTTAAACTATTAGATGAGATCTCAAGATATGATTTATATAATTCTCTAACATACCCCCTTAAGTGGAAGCCCTTTGAAATTAAAACTTGCACACACTTATACTACTTTGTGTTTAATTTTTATTAAATAGAATGGGGATGATAAGATTCAAACTTGTGATTGATTCGTCAATAAGGCTCTAAGACCATGTTAAATAATCATCTCAAATCAATAGTTTAAACTTATAGATAAGGCTCCAAGATATGATTTATATAATTCTTTGATAGTAGTTATGCCCAAAGGAGTTTAGTTTTTTCCTTACCTTAGCCCAAGGGAGGTTGAGTCCTTCCCTTAACTAAGCCCAAGAGAGAGGATTTTCTAGGCTCGTTAAATTTGAGTTTATTAGTAGCCCATCAAATCTTTGCGATATTTATATATAAAGACTTGTAAGATTACATAGTACAATGAGTTTGTCGAATTTTTTCATATGAGAAAAGGGATGGAAATGTAAGGTAATATACTAGAGAGCCCGTGTACAGGGGTATGCACCATATTTGAAAAAAAAATTAAATACATAGAGGTGAACCATGTAGGAACCTATATTTTAGAAAAAAAGTCTCTAATATGTTGAGAAACCTATGAATAATGAGTTTTTACTTAAAAAATTCTAAGAGTTTGCGAGGAACCTAAAAAGAGTGGAGTCCGTACTTAGAAAAAAATATCTTAAGAGGCTGAGGGGAATGAATCCTTATCGATGTTTATAGTTCGAAAATTTCCAAGGGGCAGAGGGGATGGATACATATTGATGCCCATACTTATAAGATTTTCCAAGGAGAAAGCCAAAGAGGATGAGTCTATAATTAGAAAATATTCTAAGAGGTTAAGAGAAATGATATCCTGTCGCCTTCCATACTTAGAAAATTTCTAAGTGGATAAGGGGACAAATTCATATTGATGCTTATAATTAGAAAATTTTTCAATAGACAAAAGGGAAACTAAAAAGAAGGAACCTATATTTAGAAAATATTTTAATAGACTGAGGGGAATGAATTTCTATCAAAGCCTATATTTATAAAATTTATAAGGGGCAGGGTGGATAAACTCATGTCGACGCTGATATTTAATTTTTTTTCATAGGATGGAGGGGGACCAAAAAAGAATGAGGCTATACTTAGAGAAAGACTCTAAAAATATATATGAATTATATAATGGGGATTTAGAATCTTTTTTGGTTAAAAGATTCATGATTTATTTATAGTTCATGAATCTCTTTATGGAGATGAGAGACTAAGCATAATATTTCCCTATTAGTTTTATTGAGGAAAAATACATCTGATATATGTATTAATTAATATTGATGGAAATATAGTGAGCTCTTATAAAATTTATATACACCATGTCTTACACAATATTAATATTGATGGAAATATATTGAGTTCTTAAAAGACTTTTATACATCTAAGAATATAAAGAGAGTAAAATATAAAATATAATTGTACCTCATAAAGGTGGGTCCTTCCCTTGGTTAAACCCACAACAGATAGTTTTTTAGATCTGTTGAATCTAAGTTTATTATTAACCATGATATCAAGCAAGTATTGTCTTAATTATTCTAATTTAAGATAAGACACTTTTAATTACAAAGTCAAATAAAGTTTTTAGGAGCAACAATGTGAAAACCCGAGTAAGTTTATACTGAATTAACATCCAGTTATTGTTAACAATGTTGAAGTACTATAATAAGATTTTTTTAAAAAATATTTTTTTCTTTTGATTTGTTATTTATTTAATTGTGTACTCAAAATTTTTAGTTAAATCAAGTAAGTATTCATCCCACGTAGTGTTAATTAAGTGCAAATCATTTAAAACATTTTAGTAGATTTTTCTAGAGATTTTGATTTAGAATTCATCCCTTATGGTTAATAAAGTCAAGTTAGATTTTTATTTAAATTTAAATTAATTCCCAAATCTTGACAAAGTAAAAGTTAATTGATGTCAAATTTATACTAGTGTAAACTTTGAAAACTTCAATTCATGAAATCATAAAAATCTACCTTTACAACAACTTTTTTTCCATAACAAATCAAATATTCGATCCGTTTCATCATGAGATGAAAATTTTACGAGACTAAATAATTTTAAATAATATACATAGAAGGAGATGAGTATTCTACTTAGTGATGTGTTAATACTAAGGAATTCATTGTAATTTATTTTATAAAAGTGAGATCATGAGATAATTGTTAAGACTTAAAGATTCGATTTGAAAGGGGGTTTATTTGGGAAGAAAATGTTGCAAAAACATATATTGCATCTGAGTAATGATCAATTTGTATTGAGATTTGTTAGGTTTAGTAGGAGATTTGAAAGGTAGTATTTCAAAGACGTGGTCCTCTCATGTTCTTGACTTGAGATGCATGGATCATGTTTATAAGATCTCGTCTTTTATAATTTCAAGTCAATACTTAGGAATTGAATTAATAGATGGATGATCAAGGGTACTTGTTTAATCTATAATTGGGAAGTAATTTGGATTTAAGATCAAATATAAGTACTTGATTTGAATTAATTCAATGGTTAAGATTTTACAAATTAACATGATCCATAGTGCCCTTAAGAGGATCTAAACATATATATAATTTTTCAGACAAAGACTTGAATAAGGAATATTTATTCTTAGGAAATTAATAATTTAAATTATCTAGTTAATGAGAAACTAAGATTTTAAGCGATCATTAAAGTGTTTTTATTCCTGGAAGATAATTTTCATGGCGAGTGTTTTAATTAGTTGTGATAATTAGCAGTGATTAACTGGGGATCTTTATTATATATGATTAATTAATTTGGAGCAGCTCGCTCCATGTGAACATAAATACCTATGCCATGCATCCCCAGCAGCAAGCCATACAGTTGTCAACCAATTACAAATTTTAAAAACATAAAAATAGGAAGTCAATAGAACAGACCCTCGGTTTCTTAAGCTGAAAATCCTCGAGTCAGAATATCTTTAATTAATTCTCCACCAACGAGCCAA